CATACCACAGCGCCCCCTGCTGCCCCACCCCACTCCCCACAGCACAGCACCCCCTGCTCCCCCAGCCACCCCCATACCACAGCGCCCCCTGCTGCCCCACCCCACTCCCCACAGCACAGCACCCCCTGCTCCCCCAGCCACCCCCATACCACAGCGCCCCCTGCTGCCCCCATCCCTCATCGCAGCCCAGCACCCCCTGCTGCCCCCACCCCGCTCCCCACAGCCCAGCGCCCCCTGCTGCCACCCACCCACCCCCATACCACTGCACCCCTGCTGTCCCCCACCTTGCCCCCTGCAGCACTGCGCCCCCTGCTGCTCCCCACCCCTGTACCACAGCGCCCTCTGCTGCCCCCCACTCCACTCCCTGCAGCCCAGCACCCACTGCTACCTCCCACCAGCTCTCTGTACCACAGCGCCCCCTGCTGCCCCCCACTTCACTCCCTGCAGCCCAGCGCCCCCTGCTACCTCCCACCCGCTCCCTGGGGCACAGCGCCCCCTGCAGCCCTCCTGCTCCACTCCCTGCAGCCCAGCGCCCCCTGCTGTCCCCCACCTCGCCCCCTGCGGCACTGCGCCCCCTGCTGCTCCCCACCCCTGTACCACAGCGCCCCGTGCTGCCCCCCGCCCTGTTCCCTGGGGCACAGCGCCCCCTGCTGCCCCCACCTGCCCCCCTGCAGCCCAGCAACCCCCGGCTGCCCCCTGCCCACCCCCATACCACCATACCCCCTGCTGCTCCCCACAGCCCAGCGCTCCCTGCTGCCCCTGGGTTAGATTGGCAGGAAAGTGGGGGGGTTCCCCTTCCTCTGCAGTGTGGGGTGCAGCTGGCCCTGCCCCTGTCAGTCATGTCGGGGGCAGAGTGAGGGTTTAAAGCAGGCGGGCCGGGCAGTTGTGGGGTAGCTCTGAGGCAGGCTGGAGCCAGAGCCCCATGGGGGGGTCTTGGAGAGCTCCAGGGGAATCACCCCCGTGACGTGCAAGGAACCAGCAGCTCCGGTGAACCAGTCGCTCAGGATGGGATCAGCAGCCCCAAGGCGAGCCATGGAGTGGCTGGTTCCTGCTATCCTCAGCCCCTCCCAGGTTAGGGAATCGGGGCCTGGACTGAGGACTGGGGGAGAGGCAGGGCTGGCCCCAAGATGGCACTAGGGGGCGTGGGGCAGCAGGGGGCACTGGGCTCCAGGGAGCATGGGCGGGGGAGGCAGTAGGGTCCAGATTATCCAACAATGTATTGGAGACAATTTTCTATTTCAGAAGGTGGCGAAAGCGACTGGGGAGAGGCTGTTCTAGGTTTGATTTTGACGAAAGGGAAGAACTGGTGGAGAATTTGAAAGTGGAAGGCAGTTTGGGGAAAAGTGATCACGAAATGGCAGAGATCACGATTCTAAGGAAGGGTAGGAGGGAGAACAGCACGATATAGACAATGGATTTCAAGGCGGCAGCCTTCAGCAAACTCAGGGAGTTGGTAGGTAAGAGCCCAAGGGGAGGCAAATCTATGGGGAAAAGCAAGTGAAGCCGGTTGGCAGTTTTTCATAAGGACATTGATAAGGGCGCAAGAGCGAACTGTCCCACTGCGTAGGAAAGATAGGAGGTATGGCAAGAGGCCAGCCCGGCTTCGCCAGGAGATCTTCAATGATCTGAAACTCAAAAAAGAGCCCTACAAAAGGTGGAACCTCAGTCAAACGACAAAGGATGAAGATAAGCCAATAACACACGTATGTCGGGACACAACTAGAAAGGCCAAGGCACAGAATGAGCTCAAACGAGCCAGCGACATCAAGGGGGGACAGGAAACCATCCTGCAAATCCATGAGAAGCAAGGGGAAGACCCAGGACAGGGCAGGCCCATTACTCCACAAGTGGGCAAAGACAATAACAGGAGCTGTGGCCATGGCAGAGGTGCTTAGTGACTTTATTTCGGTTTCCACCGAGAAGGGGGGTGGTGACTGGACGGCTAACAGAGTGAATGACTCCCAGCCCTGATTTTGCCCTCTCCTAACCTGGCCTGCAGCTGCATCCCCACCCCACCCCCCACGCTTCACCTCCAAGAAAGACCACCGCTCGGTTCAGTGCCGAAGGAGCTCGGGTAGGTTTATTGTCGACAACGCCCCGTACTAGTGCCCTGGCTCTGTGGTGACAGGTGCACTAACACAGGTATGCCCGCGACAATGGTACCAGCTCAGTCAGTGCACCAGGACGCCGTTCCTGTGACTTTGATACAAACCAGTTACATATTACGCTCCAGACGTTGTTAGTTACCACCCTTCTCCTTGTATCTGCTGCTTTGAACAAACCATTCTCCTGTCAGCCCCTCCTTATCTTAGGAGGGGGTTGCTGTGTTCCTGTACCGTCTCTTTCAACTGTGTTTACATAGCTACTTGAGAACTCTGCGTGTTCTTGCACCATCCTCTCAGGTCAGGTGTGTGCTTTCTTGGATGGCCAATACCTAGTGTGTTGTTATTTTGCCAAGGCCCGGCCTCCTCTGGTTCACAGCCTTTGGGTCACACTGTTAGTCAAGCCCAGGGCTCCAGCGAGGCCTAAACTGGGTGACTGAGCATCAAAATGGCAGGTGAATTTCAGTGTTGATAAATGCAAAGTAATGCACATTGGAAAACATCATCCCAACTATGCACACAAAATGATGGGTCTAAATTAGCTGTTACCACTCGCGAAAGAGATCTCAGAGTCATTGTGAATAGTTCTTGGAAAACATCCACTCAACGTGCAGTGGCAGTCAAAAAGCGAACAGAATGTTAGGAACCGCTAGGAAAGGGATAGATAATAGGACAGAAAATATCATATTGCCTCTATATTAATCCATGGTACGCCCACACCTTGAATATTGCAGGCAGTTCTGGTTGCCCCATCCTAAAATAAATAGAATTGGAAAAGGTGCAGAGAAGGGCAACACCAATGATGAAGGCTATGAAACAGCATCCGTGTGAGGAGAGATTAAAAAGACGGGGACTGTTCATCTTGGAAAAGAGACAACTGAGGAGGGGTATGATAGAGGGTTATGAACTCATGCCAGGTGTGGAGAAACTGACTAGAGAAGCGTTATTTACCCTTTCACATAACACAAGAACCAGGGATCACCCAATGAAATGAACAGGCAGCATGTTTAAAACCAACCAAAGGAAGTATTTCTTCCCCCAACACCCAGTCAAACCCTGGAACTCTGCTGGGGGTGTTGTGAAGGCCAAAAGTAGAACTGGGTTCAACAAGGAATTAGTCCATCAATGGCTGTTAGCCAAGGTGGTCAGGGTCACAAGCCCCCTAGCCTGTGACTGCCAGACGCTAGGACTGGACGACAGGCTGGGTCACTCGATCATCGCCCTGTTCTGTTCCTTCCCTCTGAAGCATCTGGCACTGGCCGGTGTCAGAGACCGGACACTGGGCTAGAAGCACCATTGGGCTGACCCAGTCTGGCCGTTCTTATGAGGCTGGGAGTGGACATCAGATCCCATGGGGGCTCCCCTCAGCCCCATTGCCTTCTGGGTAACACAGCCCCATTCCTCCCCTGCAGGCACGTCGCCCCCCAGCCTCCAGGAGACCCAGGTGCTGCACTGGCTCTTCGGCTGCCCCTTGGAATCCGGAGACGTTGCCACAGAGTCCTTCCTGCGCCCAGCGCCCACTGACCTGCTGATAGAGATCGGGCCACGGTGCGTCCCAGGGCTCAGCAGGGGGCTCGGTGCCTTGGGGGTGGGGGGGAGTTGAATAGGGGGCGCTGTGGGGCCGGGAGCGGGCCAGGGGCTCAGTAGGGGGCGCGCTCCCCTGGCAGGCAGGGCTGGCCCCAGTGAGGTGCCAGGGGGCGCTGTGGGGCAGGGAGCGGGCCAGGGGCTCAGTAGGGGGCGCTCTCCCCGGCAGACAGGACTGGCTCCAGTGAGGTGCTAGGGGGTGCTGTGCTGCAGGGAGTGGGACAGGGGCTCAGTAGGGGGCGCTCTCCCCGGCAGACAGGGCTGGCCCCAGTGAGGTGCTAGGGGGCGCTGTGCTGCAGGGAAGCGGGACAGGGGCTCAGTAGGGGGCGCGCTCCCCTGGCAGACAGGGCTGGCCCCAGTGAGGTGCTAGGGGGCGCTGTGGGGCAGGGAGCGGGGTGGGAGGCTTAGGAGAGGGTGCTGTGGAGTGGAGGGGCAGCTGTGGGGCTGGGCCTGTCTCTCCCGGGACTGTTACCCCTTTCCTGGCACAGGCTGAACTTCTCCACGGCGTTCTCCACCAACGTGGTGTCCGTGTGCCAGGCCGCGGGGCTGGGCTGCGTTGACCGTGTCGAGCTCTCCCACCGCTACCTGCTGCAGGTGAGGGGGCATGTGGTGCCCCTGGGAGCGAGGGGGACGACACCTGGGGGATGGGTGGAGGGGTCCCAGCATTGCGGGGTTAATGGGGCTGTGGGGTGGGAGGGAGTTCCTGGGCCACTTGCTGCCCTCCCTCCCCGATGCCCAGATCTCCAGGTGGGGAAGCGGGGGGCCCTGGTCTGTCTGTCTCCCTTTCCTGCTCCCGGGGTTGGGGGGTCCTAGTTCTCAGCCCCCGTCTACCCCCAGTGCCTGTCCCCAGTGGGAGGGGGCGGTAGGTTCCCCTAGGCAACGTGGAGGGGCGGGCAGTGGGTCCCCTTTCTCACCGAGGGGAGGGGAGACAGCTCCCCGTTCTGACACCCTCCCCCCCATCCCTGGCAATGTGCCCAGCGCCCCACGCCCCCCGAGGAGGACGCCCTGGTGGCGGTGCTCAAAGTGACCGGATGACGGAGCAGTGCTACAAGGAGCCAATCCGCAGCTTCACCGTCACCCGTGGCCGCCTGCCCTGCCCCCACCTGGGATGTGGATGTGCTGGGGAAGGGGGCCGCACTGCGCTGGAGAGTGCCAACCAGGCGCTGGGTATGGGGGGGGACTTGGGGGTAGAGCCTGCGTACATGGGGAGGGTCTGGGCACTGAGTATCAGGACTAATGGGGGAGGTGGGTGGTTGGGTATCATGGAAGTCAGGCTGGGGGCTGAGTCCCGGGGCTGGGGGGGGCTGGGCATGGGGAGCTGGGTATGGTGGGGGGGTGGGGGAGTGTCTGAGCGCACTGCAGGGGTTGGGGTTGGGGGGTGAGATGGGCACCCCGGGGTTGAAGCTGGGGCTCTGCAAGGTGAATTACTGGGGTGGGGTGAGAGCTGTGGCTGACCCAATGTCCCAGGCAGCCCGGGTTCAGGCCCCCCGATGTCCTGTGGGGGGGTTTCTGCCCACCATGGAGAGTGCTGGGGGTCAAAGGTCTCTGCCCCCCCTTCCACCCTAACCCCCTTTTCCCGCAGGCCTGGCCTTCGAATCCTGGGCCCTGGATTTCTACACTGACCTCTTCAAGAGATTCAGGCGCAACCCGACCTGCGTGGAGTGCTTCGACCTGGCCCTGCCCCATTCCCAGCCCCCTGAGCCAGCCAGTCCCTGCCCCCCTGTGCCAGCCCAGCCCCCCAAGGGCTGCGACCGGAGCGTGCCCGGGACCCTGCATGGCTCTGCCACAGCAGGTCTCTTGCAGAGCAAACAGACCAGCCAGTGCCTGGCTTTCCACGCTCCCTGGCACCCCACCCCAGGGTCACCTGGCTGCGGGGGGTCTGTTTGCTGACCTCCCCCCGCCGATCAATCTCCTCCTTTTAACTCTGTGGTTGGGAGACAGGGTCTTCCCTGGGTTACTCCCCCCCTCCACCTCCCCACCAGCCGTCCCCGCGGCGCTGCCTGCTGGGTTCCTGCTCTGGTCCTGGTCCCAGGGCGCTGCGGCTCGTCCAGTGCCCGGCTTAGCGCGGGTTCAGAACCCGTCCTTCCTGGCCAGCCCACCGCCACCTGAGCCGTCCGGCTGCCTTTTACACCCCTTAGGGTTGGGGCCCCCGGCATCCAGGTTGGCACCCCCTGACCGTCTCTCCCTGCCCCCAGGCTACCCTCTGCCCTGGGAGGACCCGGCATTGCCCTACCCCCAGAACTACGCCCACCCCCTGCAGGTGGCCGTCAGGGCCAGCGATGGCGCCTCTGACTATGGCAATAAGTTTGGAGAACCTGTCCTGGCTGGTGAGTGTTGGAGGAGCTGTTCTGGGGAGTTGGGGGGACCCATCCTGGCAGGTGGGGGCTGAGCCGTATCTTCACAGGGGTGTGCTCCCGTGTCACCCCATCAGCTGCCCTCTTGCTCCCCCCTCAGAAGGGGACCTGCCTGGCCCTCCCCTGCCCTTCTGGGGCGCCAGGAGGCTGTGGGCTCTAGTCTGTCCTCTGGGGCGGGGGTTGGGGAGCGCCTGGCAGGGGGGACGTGCCCGGCTTGAATGTGCCTGGCTCCGGGGTGGGAGTTGGGGAGATTGGCAGGGAGGGACGGGCTGGCGCGGCCCGTGGGTGAGCTGCGCGCCCTCTGGGAGGCCACGAGTTTCCAGATGGAGCGGCTGCAAGCGTCGCCCCACTGCGTGGAGCAGGAGGAGAGGGGGCTGGCGCGACGCCAGGGCCCCACCTTCACCCTGACCTTCGACCCCGAGGTCAAGCCCCCGCTGCTGTGCCAGATGGGTGAGGGCCGGGGCCCCTGGGGGGAGGGAGGTGTGGGAGGGGCTCTCTGGGGGGGGACGGTGGTGTGGGAGGCGATATCCCCAGGTCCTCGTGGACGGAGGGGCTCTCTGCGGGGGAAGGTGATGGGAGAGGGGGCGTCCCCAGGTCCCAGCAGGGGGTGGGGCTCTGGGGGGCAGGTTGGTGTCAGAGGGAGGTGTGGGAGGCGGTGTCCCCAGGTCCCGGGGTGGGGGGAGGAATGGACTCTCTGCCCCAGTGGGGGTGCCCCGAGCCTAGCAGGCCCTGGTCTCTAACCCCACCTTCGCCCCCAGCCCAGCCAGGCCCGCGCGTGGCCATCCTGCGCGAGGAGAGCAGCAACGGGGACCGCGAGATGGTGGCAGCTTTCGTTATGGCGGGGTTCCAAGTGAGACACCCCCACCCTGAACCCTGGAGTCCTCCCCCCAACACACACCCCATTCTAACCACTAGCCCCCACTCCCCAGGCCTGGGACGTGACCATGCAGGACCTGTTCACAGGAGAGGTGACTCTGAAGTCGTTCCGCGGCCTGGTCTTTGTGGGGGGCTTCAGCTACGCGGACGTCCTGGGGTCTGCAAAAGGTGAGACCCCTGTACCTGAGCCAGCGTCCCTCCCCTCACCCCCTGAGCCAGCATCCCTCCCACACCCTTGGAGACAGCGTCCCCACCCCTCACCCCCTGAGCCAGCCAGTCCCCCCCTCATCTCCCCTGAGCAGGCGTCCCCCCTTTCACCCTCACAAGCCACCTAGTCCCTGCCCTGGGGCCAGTTGGAAGCCAGCGCCTCTTAGAGGGGACAGGTTCCAAGCCCCATTCCCCGACCCCTGAACCAGCCAGTCCCCGCCCAGGGGGCAGATGGGAGCTGGAGGCCCCTAGAGGAAAATCCCCGTGCCCCATTCCCCACCCCCCCTGAGCCAGCCACTCCCCCTCAGGGGCCGGATGGGAGCCAGTGGCCCCTAGAAGGGAAAGGCCCCGGGCCCCATCCCCCAGGTGACTGACCCCCGGTGTCCCTCTGTCTCCAGGCTGGGCAGCTTCAGTGACTTTCAACCCCCGGGCACGGGCCCAGTTCGAGGCGTTTCGCCGGCGCAGGAACACGTTCAGCCTGGGCGTCTGCAACGGCTGCCAGCTGATGGCGCTGCTGGGCTGGGTGGGGGGCGAGAGCCCCCAGAGCGACCCCACGGGTGAGTGGGGCTGGGGGGAGGGGCCTGTCAGTGGGCTGGAGGGATTGGGGAGGTGTCAGGGTGTCTGTGGGCGAGATTTGGAGGGCAGGTGTGGTTGGGGCAGGGGCAGTGTCTTGGGGATATCGGATGGGGAGTGTTTCTAGGACAGGGCTCACTCTGTCTGTCTGTCCGCAGGTGGGGCTGTCCGTCCCGGGGTGCTGCTGACCCCCAACGATTCGGGCCGGTTCGAGTCGCGGTTCGTGGCGCTCACCATCGAGGAGAGCCCGGCGGTGATGCTGCGGGGCATGGCTGGCTCCACCCTGGGAATCTGGGTGGCGCATGGAGAAGGTAACAGCTCTGCCAGGGCTGGGGGGCTGCTCGCTCCACCCCTGTATACACAGCCCCGCGCCCCACCCCAGAGGCAGCTGCATCTCAGCGCTGGGCGAGGGGTCCCTGTAGAATCAGCCCCTGTGCCCCACCCCAGAGGAGTGGCTGGGGGGGGTCCTTCCCTAATATGGTGGGAGGGGTCCTTGCCCTGGTTTCTCCCCACCCCCCCCCTTTCCCCTCCTGTCGGGTGTATTTCTCCGTCAAGCCATGGTCCTGTGCTTGTTGCTCTCGAGGTGTCCGTGCGGCTGAGACGGGAAGGCTTTTCCCCAGCAGGCTCCGCTGTGCCGTACCTGCCCCCTCCCGCCCCAAGAGCGTGGAGCATGGTGCGGACCGACCGCTTCTCCGGTTCCTTTGCAGCACCCGTGGTTGGAGACGGGTTCTCCGCTGACGTGGTGGAGGCAGGGGAGGGTAAATTGTCCTTTCTTAACCAGCAGTGATAGAAAAGCCCCTTTCAGAGCATTGGGGTCCCCATCAGTAAACGGGGGGCCTCTCGAGAGAGGTGCCTCTGGATTGGGCTCTGGTGTGACCATTGCTGGGCTCCTGCATCCAGGTCTGGTGCCCTCAGCTCAAGACGGCCTGAATCGATTGCAGAGGGGTCAGAGAAGAGCCAGGGAAAGGGTCAGAAAACCTGCCGTAGAGGGAGAGACTCCAGGAGCTCGAGTTATTCAGCTTGACAAAGCGACGGTTCTGGGGTGACCTGAGCCCCGTCTGTCAGTACCTACCTGGGGAACACACAGTCGATAACGGGCATTTCGGTCTAGCAGCGAAGCTCCCTCCACCGGCTGGAAGATGGAGATGGACAAATTCAGCCCGGAAATAGGGTGTAAAATTGTCCCTATGAGAGCAATGACCCATGGGCACAATTTCCCGAGGGCTGGGCTGGGTTCTCCATCGCTGACCAGTGACTGGACGTGTCTCTGAAAGCTCGGCTCTGGGAATGACTGTCGGGCCATTCACGAGGTCAGCCGAGATCTTCCCCACGCTCCTGTCTGGCCTGGGAATCCACGAGCAACCCTGAGAAAAAGCTGATCCCGGTCGGGCTCCCTGCTGGGCTGGGGCGCCCGTCTGTACTGGCCTGTAGCACATGATGCCCAGTCCCTACAGAGACCCGCTTACCTCCGCCTTTTACACCGGCGTGCGGCCTGGGAAACGCTGCCAGCCGCCTGCCTGGAGCCTTCACCTTCCCGTCACGCTGGACGACGTGACGCTAACAACATCCCTGCTGTGCAAAGAGGCTGTCGCTCTCTAGAACGGGTGCAGCCGCCCCCCGCGTCCCCGTCTCGATGGTGCCCCTTCCGGGGTGCGACTCCCCCTGGCAGAGCCTCGACAGATGCTTCTCCAGAGACCCTGAATGGGAGCCCCATCACTCGGCGGTTTGGAGCGTCTGTCACCGAGCTCGTGGGACCTTCTCTGTGAACCAGAAATACCCGACCTCCTGCTCCCAGCAGCCCGAGGCGGGCACTTCAGCGGAGACACATTTCTAGTCGCACGCTCAGAGCCGCTGATGTCCATGTTCCCCGTCCCTCTCACCACGAGTCTTGGGGAAGATTGGAGAAAACAACAGTGATCCTCATGGATCCCGCACAGACGAGGCAGATCTGACCCATGGGCATTCTCCAGGTGTCTGCATGGACCATCTCCGCGGGGATACAGCTCTTGGACGTCCACCTGAACCAGGTCATCCATCACCTGGAGTCACGGATCTGCAGGGTCGGTGCTATGGCCCCATCTTTGGAGCAGTCTCCAGGTGGCTCCTGTCAGTGTGCCAGACCCCCTAGGGCAAGCCAGGCCCCTTCTACACCTGCTTAAGCTGGACCCGTGGGCCTTCAGACACCCCCCCCCCCGCTTGCTCCCTGAGCTCCAGTCAGCGAGTCCCACCGAGGGCGGCTGCCCCCGAGGGAGACTTGTCCACGGGTTTGCGGTGATGCTCACACAGCGGGTTTGTTAGCCAGCTGGCACACAGCATAGGCAGCCCTCTGGGTAGTTAAAGCATCGTCCATCCGGGTGAGCCCAGAGCCCAGGCAGGCTGTGGGGAACCCCTGGGCTCAAGCGCTGTCTGTCTCTGTCTGGGTCCAGCCGAGAGCCCCGACTCCTTCCAGCCCCCAACTCTTCTCTCCTCCCCCGACCTGTCCCGTCCTTTGATCTCCAACTGGGGAAATGCTGTCTAGCCTCCCCAAGGAGAGGCAAGGGGGTGTCCATCTCCCTCTGGGTCGCTGGTTGCTTGGTGTCGCTGTCCGGGCCGTTGTATTTGCCTTTGTTTTCTCAGATGCTCCATTGATAGAGGGGCGAAGGCTCCCTACAGCTCGGCAACACCCGCACCGATGTCCCTCAGCCGGCCCCGAGAGCAAACAGCCCTTTTCCACCCCACTGGGTCACAGTGCAGCATAGAGGGGAAACTGAAGCACACATTGGCTTCCAAAAGATTGCCAAATATTCCAGCTTCATCACGCCTGCCTTCTAGCCAAAGCCACGTGCCACCAGAGCGCTCCACTCTCTGGACGTCTGACGAGCCTTAGTGTCCCCTCTGCAGAGAACAAGACGTAGGCGAGGGGAAGCGAGCTCCTCGCAGAGTTGTGCAGTGAATTTCAGGCTGCGTCCTGCCTGCTCGACCCGCCCCTGGGCTGCCGTGGTAGCTTCGCTCCGGGGTGTGTCTCTTGGAGTCTGGTTCCCTGCCTCGTACAGTAGCTGGAGCTCTTGGAGAGGGCGATCCCTGAGTGTCTTCCCCCACCCACTGTCCTCCCCTACCGCCGTGGGTCCTTCCCCCAGAGGGTGTTTGCCAAGCAGCTCTGTGCTCGGCCTCGGTTCGGTGCAGGGGAGAAGGGCCAAGCGCTGGCCACAGCTAAGGAAAATCCCCCGTCTCAGCACGTGAAGGGCCTGCCCAGCTCGAGTGGGGCACACCGGGGTCCGCCCAACTGGGAGAATTCCAGTTGTTGTACCGGGCAAGCAACTGGGCTCCCCACGCCCTGCCCTGCAGTGCTGGCCATCTCGACAGTGAGAGAATGTGGGGGGCTTTATCTGCCTCCTCCCCGTGCCCTGCCCCAGCTCACATGCGGTTTCACACTCCCGAGGCCACAGCGGGGTATGGAGGCAGTGGCCTGTTCTGGAGGGTGTCCCGCGGGGGAGCTCTGCCTGTCTCACCCCCTCTTTTCCCCTGCCCCAGGTCGGATGCGGTTCCGCTCCCCCGAGGTGCTGGCTGCAGTGACGTCAGGGGGCTTGGCCCCGCTGCGCTACGTGGATGACCAGGGCCAGCCCACTCAGGAGTACCCCCTGAACCCCAACGGCTCCCCGCTGGGCATCGCCGGACTCTGCTCGCCCGACGGGCGCCATTTGGCCATGATGCCCCACCCCGAGCGCTGCGTCCTGCCCTGGCAGTGGGCCTGGATGCCACCCGCCTGGCGCCACACCATGGAGGTCTCACCCTGGCTGCGCATGTTCCAGAACGCCTGCGAGTGGTGCCTACGCCACCCCGAGGGGGAGTCCTGACCGCGGAGCCCGGGCGCCAGCCGGATCTCAGATCCAAAGGTTTGTCCCCGGGCCAGGATCGGCACTAAACCCACCCTGGTGTTATCCGGTGTCGGATGGGGGAGCATGTCACCCCGCCCCCTCCACCGTGACCCCACACTCACCATGTTTATGAGGTCATGCTAGGGGGCTGGACGGTGCCCTCGTAAAAACGCCCCCGCCCCGCAGTGTGACCTTGTATGCACCGGGCATGCGAGGTCACAGTGTGGGGTGAGGTCATGCTGGAGGGGGCGGGGTTTGTGAGAGAGAGGTTGCACGGGGGGCGCGGTCACATGAGGAGGCGGGTCCACACTGTTCCCAGAAGGTCCTTAGCCCTGACCTCTACAGGGCCAGCCAGCCCGGGCCTGGAGACCTGTCTGCAGTTCCCCTTCCTGGCCACTGGGGACAGACTTGAGGAGGAACAAAAGCAGGGGTGTGAGGGGGTCAGTGGGGGGAATTGAGCCAGGTGTGTTGGGGGGAAGGCAGGTTTGGAGAGAGCCTGGGGAGGGGTTCAGGGGCGGAGTTGAGCCGGGGGGCTGGGGGCAAGGACAGGTCTAGGAGGAACAGGGCAGGAGGAGGTTGGGGGATTTAGTGGTGGCCCCTGAGAGGGGTGAGGGGGGAGCGACTGTCTAAGCAGCTCCTGCTTGCTGGTTATTGGGTCTGGGGGCTGGAGCCAGAGGAGAGGGTGGGTCTGCGCCCCCCACCAGACCCGGGGAACAGTGTGTGGAACCCCCATGCAGGGGCCAAGGATGTCTGAAAGCCCCGGGGGAGACGGGGAGGTGAGGAAGATAGTGAATCAGGGGGGAAGGCTGAGGGGGCAGAGTTGGGGGGGGCGATGGAGGACAGTTAATGCCATTGCTGTAGATCAGGGGTTCTCAAACTGGGGGTCGCGAGGTCATTACATGGGGGGTTGCGAGCTGTCAACCTCCCCCCAAACCCCGCTTGCCTCCAGCATTTATATTGGTGTTAAATATATTTAAAAGTGTGTTTAATTTATTGAGGGGGAATCGCACTCCCGGGCTTGGTTTGAGCCCCACTGCTGGAGATGGTTCATTCCCCACCGTGACAATTCACACCGTCCCTTTTGCTGTCACCAGCACGTCGGTGATGTAATAGTGTGTGTGGGGGGGTCAGGTCTTCCCGGGGGCACCGGGGTGTTTACATGGCTGGCAGCTCCTTTCTTTCCTCGCCCTGGAATGAACTCAGCCAGCCTCCTTCCCAGCCCTCCATGAGCTGGCAGCAGCGGACAGAGGGGAGCCAGTCGCTTCTTGTCCCAGCGGAAGGTAGCCCTGTCCCCTCTCATGTCATTCGTTCCCTCGCAGGGCTGGAAGTTCCCATGGAATTCAATACCCGGCCCGGACAGAGACACAGAGATGCTGCTGCTCGTCCATTTGTGCAAAGGAAAAACTCGTTTTTAAACTGGACCTTGGTTCGTGGGAAGGGAGAGTGGAAAATCCCGGAGCTGTGTTTGGGCTGAGGCTGGGTCTCCTAGGTGGTGGGACGGGACTGGCCAGCTGGAGACTGCCCCGGGCTGGGATCACAGGCATCACAAACTCCTCTGTCAGTGACAGCTGATGCATTGAGATTGGCCCAAAGCCAGGCAGAGTTGGACCTTACAGAGGAAATTCAAACCAAGGAAAAGGTTCTGTTGTCATATAAATAAAAAGAAAACCAGGAAGGAAGAAGTGGGGCTGCTAAACACTCGCAATGCTGCCAACATAGCGATTTTGTCACTAGATTTTGGGACGTTTTGGTTTCCCTAGCAAAGAAATGTGTCAAAGTGACCCGTGTAAATGCTTCCCCTGTAAGTGGGGTCAGCTTCGGTTCCTTGGTGATGGGGAGGGGGTGAAAATCCAGCTCTCAAGGGCACCAGGGCCAAATGTAGAGGCAAAGTCACCTCTCAAACAACTTACACAAGTCTGAGTCTATTATCCTAATGCTATTACCGTTATCAACTACATTTGTCATCGCCTCAAAAAAGATACCAAGTTAGATTGATGGCTCTATTTCCCATAAACCCATGTTGATTGGCATTAATTACATTGACCTCCTTTAGTTCTTTATTAATCGAGTCCCGTATCAGCCGCTCCATTATCTTGCCTGGGATCAATGTCCGGCTGAGAGGCCTATAATTACCCAAGTCATCCCATTTATCCTTTTTAAAAATTGACACATTAGCTTTCTTCCAGACTTCTGGAACTTCCCCAGTGTGCCAAGACGTATTGAAAATCAACATTAATGGTCCAGTGAGCCCCTCAGCCAGCTCTTTTAAAACTCTTGGAGGCAAGTTATCTGGACCTGCTGATTTTAAAATGTCTAACTTTAGTAAATTCTTTTTAACATCCTCCAGAGATGCTATTAGAAGGGAAAGTGTGTTATCACCGTATGATGAGACTGGCTCATCTCCTCCCCCCCAAAATATGGAACAGGAATATTTATTGAACATGTCGGCCTTTTCTGCATTATTATTGATAAATCTACCAATCCCATCTAGTAATGGACCAATACCATTGTCATGATTCTTTTTCCCCCCAATATATTTTGTCCTTACTGTCCTTAATTCCGCTAGCCACAGATTTCTCCTTGTGTCCCTTGTCTTCCCGTATCAATTTTCTACAATTCCTAACTTCTGATTTGTATTCTTTGCTATCAACTTCCCCTTTCTTGTATCTTTTTTTTATTATTATTATTTTATATTTTTTACCACTGCCTTCACTTTTCTAAACTAGATTGTTGGGTGTTTTTTTGTTGTTGTTTTGTTTTGTTTTATACCAGCACAGCCTTCTTCCTCAATTGTAGGACTGTGGCTTGTGGGGCATCTAGTAAGCTGTTCTTAAATGAGTCCCAATTACCACTCACATTTTTCTGATTCAATTTTTCCTTCCAACTGATTCGGCTCATAATTGTTTTCAGCTTTGTGAAACTGGCCCCACTAAACCACCAAGTATATATTATTACTGGTCTGGACTTTATTGTGCTTGCATATTATCGTCCCAGACTAAATTGATTTCCTTCTTTGAGGAAATAACTGGTTTTTCAGCTACGGGACGTGCAGTAGCACTAATATACTGGGGCTTCAGGGAAGCATTAGGCACGGTACCCCACGGGACATGATTAGTTAAGGATGGATATCCTGGAACACTGAACTGTATTGCACTGGTCAGCCAAGCGGTAGCACTGGCTGTACAATTATTTACCATATCTCCTGGCTGCTCACATGCTCAGGGTCTAATTGATCACCATACGTGGGGTGGGGAAGCAATTTCCCCCCGGGTTAGACTGGCAGGAACATGGGGGGTTCCCCTTCCTCTGCAGTGTGGGGTGCAGCTGGCCCTGCCCCTGTCAGTCATGTTGGGGCAGAGTGAGGGTTTAAAGCAGGCAGGCCGAGCAGTTGTGGGGTAGCTCTGGGGCAGGGCAGGAGCCAGAGCCCCATGGGGGGGTCTTGGAGAGCTCCAGGGAAATCGCCCCCGTGACCTGCAAGGAACCAGGAGCTCCGGTGAACCAGTGTCACACCCCAATGGCCCAAGGGGTCCCCTGGGGAAGGCAGATCAGCATTGTATATGGCTAACGCGGCTGCAAGCATCGTGGGGCATTTTGGGAAGGGTCAAAGGTGTGAGTGAGTGTGGAATGGAAGATTCCTCCGCAGGTCGCGCGAGGCCAGAGGGGGAAGAAGGACGAGAGCAGAGAACGGGTTAACTCCGTGCTCCTGCTAGGCCCAAAGATAAGTCGCTGACTCCAGCCCGCTCAAGGCCACAGCACTCATCTGACTCTCGGCTGCCTGCCACGAAAGAGGGGGGCCCGGAATTCACCGACCGGCCGGGAGAAAGGAACATGCGGCTGAGCAGACCTGCAGAGGCAGCCCATAACGAGCGAGACAAGCGAAGGCCAGCCCGGAGGAAAACAACGAGGACAACAAAGTCTAGCCAGTGTGTTTTGGGAAAGTTGAGACCACAGAGAGCTGGTTTGGACTGGTACAAAGAGCACCAGGAACAGAGATCGCGGAACGAAACAGCCCCAAAGGAACCCTGGACTTCAAACCCTCCTGAGAGCTGGAGCAATTCGGAGATCGCAGCGGACCCCGGACGGCCTGGGCCCAGGACAGGACTCCCGTCCACCCTTCCCCGCCTCTTCTTACGTTACACCCAGGCCTGGCCAGCCGCGGGTCGGGCGTGTGTGTGTGTGAAAGTGGGTTAGGGCTTGGGGCACTAACGCTTCCTTCCTCCCTCTGAGTGACGTGGGGAGCACCCGGCGCTCCGCTGTTATTTTATTATTTTATTAATTAATAAAGCTTTAAACTTAGACCCTTGGGGTGCTTCGTCATCTCCTCCCCTAACAATCCTGCGGCTTCAGCCCGATCACCTGATGCCTCAGGCAGATTGGTAACTGAAATCTGCCACACCAGTCGCCCAGGATGGGATCGGCAGCCCCAAGGCGAGCCATGGAGTGGCTGGTTCCCGCTATCCTCAGCCCCTCCCAGGTTAGTGAATCGGGGCCTGGATGCGGGAAGAGGGAGCCAGGCCTCCCAGAAAACACGGTCTGGCACGTCGGATCCATTTCAGGTCACTCCGCCTCCTGGTTTTGCAGCCGGCAGGGGGATGGGGGGGGGGGAGAAAAACCCACTGGGGTTTGCAGCATCCGACCAGCAGGGGGCACCCATCAGTGACCCTTGCCCAGATAGTGACCTCCCCAGCAGCGCCCCCTGCAGGCTGCTCTCTGCATGTTCCCATCTCTGCAGCTTCCCTCCTAGCTCCCCAATGCCCAGCCCGAGGGGTGACCCAGGCAGCTCCCGGCCAACAGCCCTTAAAGGGTCAGACCACCAGCGTGCAAGAGGCACCGGCAGGGCTGTGTGTGCATGGAGATCAGGGCTGGGCTGGCAGGGGCTGGGGGTCAGGAGTGAGGGGCACCGGTAGAGCTGGGGGGGGGGCAGGGCTGGGCTGGCTGGGGCTGCGGGTCAGGAGTGAGGGGCACCGGCAGAGCTGGGGGGGCAGGGCTGGGCTAGCAGGGGCTGCGGGTCGGGAGTGAGGGGCACCGGCAGAGCTGGGGGTGGGGAAGCCCAGGGCTGGGCTAGCAGGGGCTGTGGGTTGGGAGTGAGGGGCACCGGCAGAGCTGCGGGGGTGGGAGCCCAGAGGCTAGCAGGGGCTGCAGTTCACAGGAGCCCCCCACACCCTAAAAACAGGGCATGGGCAGGCTCCTGGTCCCAGCACCCACTGGGACGCTCATGCAGCAGCAGGGTGACTCCATGGCGCAGTTATCGGGGTGCATGGCAGATGTGCCCTCGTGGGGGCGGGGCGGGGGGGGCGAGGAGGCAGTGGACAGCCAAGACAGCAAGTCCCCGAAACCAGGATCCACGCCAAAAATACCAACGTGCCAGCTGTGCTGCCCCCCCCCCGAGCGCCCCCAGAGAGTCTCGTGGGGGGCGGCTGCAGGGGCCCGGGGGGTTCATAGCCTGGTACTTACTTGGTCTGCAGGGCACAAAGACGAGGGTGGCGCTGTGGGGCTGGGGGCTCCCAGGGCCTCTTATAGCCCGGCCGGCTCAGTGCCGCGTGTGCACAAGCAGGCGGTGCTGAGTCAGCGGGGGGGAGCCCGGGGGGGGGCGGGGGGCCAGGCGCCGGCTTGTCCAGTCCACTCAGCCATTGTGGGGGGATCAGCCGCCCGGGCGCACAATGGAAAGTGCTGGGCCGCGCTCGCTCCGGAGCTCAGGGTCACAATAGGGAAAACGCCTGACGCTCCACTTTCCTTTCTCCCGCGGCACAATGCGCCCGCGCTGGGGGGATTAGGGGCAGAGCCGGGGCCAGTGGGACACCAGCCGGGGGGGGGACAGTGGTGTCACGGGTGGGGCAGGAGCTGCGCTGCTCGCTGGGCTGTGGATGAAATGCCACGGTGGAGGCCAGGGGACGCTGGGGCAGACGCTTCCCTTCCTTGGGTCACGGATGCCAAGCTGTGCCCGGCCCCCTGCCCAGCCCACCCACCTCCCACGTCAGATCCTCTCCCCAGCCTGTCCTGCACCTCGGCGGGGTCGAGCTGGGGCGGTGGGTCCCAGCACTGGGATGGGGATCGGCCCATCCCGGCGTCCCGCCTGCCGCCCCACGCGCTGCCCGAGCAGACAGCCAGGAACCCCGAGCTGGTCTGTGCTGTTCAGGGCTGGCCCCGCAGCGGGAGCGAGGCTAGCGAGCTGGGGGGTGGGAATCAAACAGATTTCCGGGGATTCCCCCTCCTCTTGCTCCAATCGGGCCCCTCTGGGGGCTCTTCTCTTTCTCGCTGCCTGGCGGGGCCGGGGCGCTGGGCGATGCACGTGCCCAGTTCCCATCCCTGCGCCCCCCACCCCGCCCCGTGGGGGGCACTGGGCTTTGCAGCGTGGCCGAGGCTGCCCTGTCTGGGGATGCCCCTAGGAAATGTCTGGATCCCTGGGTTGGCAGGACTCCTGGGTTCTCTGCCCTGTTCCGCCACTGACTTGCAGTGGGGCCTTAGGCGAGTCCCTTTCCCCACCCTGTGCCTTGGTTTCCCCAGCTGGGGGCGAGCCTGGCCAGCCCAGGGTGAGCCAGACTGGCCGGCTTCGCCCTGCGCCTGCCCTGACCCCGGCAGCGTTGGGCCTGGTCCCACCGAGCGGACAATCCCGCAAACCCCCACTAGAGGGCGCCGGAGGGCAGGGATTGCGCCCGGGCGGCGCAGACACCCAGGGCCTGGGCAGGGCCAGGCTGGGGCCAGGACTTGGGGGGGGGACCCAGCTTTGCTGGGTGTTTTCTAATGCAGGGGGCTGCGTGGGGCCCCTGGAGCCGGACGGCCCTTACTGTGGGGATGAGGCTCCGGTGGGGCCCTGCCACGCTCTCGGCTGGGCAGGGGAGCGACCCACAGGCAGGGCGCTGGCTTTGCTGCGGGTGCTTCGACCATCTCCCCTCCTGCCAGCCCGGGCGCCCCTGGCAGGGCTGGGGAGCAGGGCTGGGCAGGGCGTCCCTTGCCCAGGGGGCAGGAGTGGGAGCAGGGGGTGTCCCTGCCCGGCGGGAGGGGATGGGGACAATGCAATGTCAGAGGGTGCTGGAGGCGATGCTCCGGGACCCTGGCTCCTTTCCACGCTGGCGGCTCTGTCTGGGCGTTGCATGGAGCTGGGGAGAGGCAGGGGGCAGGTTCAGCCTCGC